TGAGGAAAGTGTGGAGTGCCAACTAGCACCATCTCACACTGCCTCATTCTGCCTCTTTGTTGCTAGGTAGGGGTGGAAGCTCAGTTCACTGTTTGGCTCCACTGATATGACCCCTTTGGATGACATGGAGGGCCAACTTACCCGATGTTGCTAGTGTTGGTGGGTCCAGATGTGTTGTTCCCCACTTGGCTCTGCTAACACCATGAATGAAAGATGGCTTCTTCTTTTGTGTTTGGCTTGAGTACAGTGGATATTATCAAAATGATTTTCTGTTCTGCGAGGCTACTCTTTTTCTGATCCTTTGACTAGAGAACAGGTTTCTTTTCTTTTTTCCTTTTTTTCTTTTCTTTTCGTCTGTACCTATTGATGGTTCCATGTTGCACACTTCGCCAGCACCCCTTGAAGAATATATGAGGCAAAAAGAAAACTCAGGGAACTCATGACCATGTTATTCTTCAAGTCCTGATGTCCCTAGTCGATCTGCTCTTCTCATCTTTCAGAGTCTTCCTTTGTTTGCTGTAGTCCAACGGGGTTTTTAGTTGTGAGAGGGAGTAATAGCAAGGAATGGGGCCAATCCATTTGGCTGGAACCAGAAATACCATTAGTTTTAATATATTTTCATTATCATTCACTTAAAAATATTTCCTAATAATTGTGAATTATTCTTTGACTCATGGGATATATTGAAATGTCTGCTGCAGATAAAATATGATGATGTCTGGGATTTGCTTCAAAATAATTTAGAAGGAGAAAGTGAGTGAGGGCATAGATGAAATATAAGAGTTCATCAATATTTAAAGCTGGATGGTGAACTCATGAGAATTTATTACACTTTTCTGCCTACTTTGTATGTTTAAAACCTTCTACAGGAAAAAGTTTTAAAAAAACAGAATAAAAGGTACTGATTATTTTCCAAACACTTGGGACTTTTCTACTTCCTTTTTAGTTGTTGATTTCTAATTCAGTTCTCTGTGATTAGAGGATGTCTCTGTATTACTTGAACCCATTGAAATATATTAGGACTTGTTCTATGCCCTTGTATATACCTTCCATTTTGGTTAATGTTTCATGTGTTCTTAAGAAAAAAAAATGTGTACTAAGCTGTTGTTGGGAGCATGTTCTATATGTGTTACTTTAGTCAACTTTGTTAGCTGTGTTGTTCAAATCTATTATACCCTTATAATTTTTGCCCGTTCCTTCCACTAATTATTGAAGAAGTTGTATTAAAATCTCCCACAATAATTATAGATTTGTCTATTTCTCTTCTTAGTGTTATCGGTTTTTGCTTAACGTATTTTGAAGTTACATTATTAGGTGCATACAAATTGTAGATTGTTTATCTTCCTGTTGAATTGATCCATTTATCTATCTCTAGTAATACTTTTTACCTTAAAGTTTTCTTTGTTTGATATTAGTATTGTTATACCAGTGTTCTTTCAGCAGGTGTTTGTACAATATACTATCTTTTCCTAGCCTTTTATTGTCTACTTTTTTATGTCCTAATATTTAAATATACCTCTTATAAGAAGCCTATAGTTGGCTTAAAAAAAATCCAGTATGACAATGGAATATTTTTAGTTCAGTTAACTTAAAGTAGCTACTGATATATTTGATTTAAATCTATCAGTTTACTATTTTTATTTTTCCATCATCCTTTGATTTTTTAAGTTTTCTTTTTTACTTCTTTTGACTTATTTTATACTTATCAACTATATTTTAATGATTCCACCTACTCAGAAACTTCATAGCTATACATTTTAAAACTATTCTTTTGGTGGTTATCATAAAGATTTTGACATTACCTTCATTTACTTTAAATCTGTACATTTACCTAAAAAGTTCAGATTTTTCCTTTAGAATCCTAGAATTGGACACTTGAACACATGGCATGAATAATTTAAGGTCTTTGGGACATATACTCAATCTCCTTTCTAGAAAGGTTGTACCAATTTATTATACTCCTATCTGTGAAGTTTTTGTTTTGTTGAGCTAGTGGCCTCACTAGGTAATTATCATTGCTTTAAAAATCTGTTTACTAGGTAAGTCGGAGAAAAAGTAAGTTACAATCTTTGATTGCTTTTGAGGATGACTTTTTATTGCACATTATTGAATAATCTTTTGCTTCTGTAAATAGCTGATTCACATCCTTACACGTTTCAGTTGGGATATTGATTTTTTTTTTTATCAGTTTGTAAGAACTCTTAAATTAGGAATAACTCATTGTCGATTCTGAAAACAGTTTTTCCTTGTTTAACTCTTACTTTGTAATAATCTTCCTGGCTGGGGGATGTAGCTCAGTGGTAGAGTATGTGCTTTGCATATAATAATCTTCTTAACTAATCTTTAGAGGAAGGTAAGAGAAGAAAAGAATATCCTGGTGCAGCTCAAGACACAAGAACAGACAGCGAGTCAAGGACTCTACCTTCCTTAAAACTATCATGTGTCTGTAAGAACTAACTATACAACATTTTTCCTACAAGGTTATCAGAGTTAAAAATAAAGAACGTATTTTATGACTCTTCAAGAGAACTCTGTTTGTTGCTAGTTTGCATAAGCTCTCAGTGATCATCTTATTAATTGTAAAAGTTGGTAAGACCATTAAACATAGTTTATTAGCATGATATTCTTTAAAGGAAAATAAACTTTTTCTGATGGACTTTAATCCTTTGGTTTCAAAGCAGTGTTAGATTGGGTAAGGGAGTGAGGTGAATCCATCTAAAAAATATTTACTACTCTTTTTGAGCAGTGAAAAAACAAAAAACAAAAACAAAAACAAACACAAACATCTGCCCAGGACCACCTTGGTCACTGAGAAGGAAAGCACAGAAGATAAGTGCTTCCTTCAGGTTTGCTCCAGGTAAGACTGGAGGGTGGGGGTGGGAGGTAGGGGATGGATGGGAAGGGAAGTATAGTTAGTTATGTATTCCCCAGGCAAGGATGACTAGAGTACCAGTGAACCCACCTTGCCCTAGCTTCAGAAGAAAAATCTGTATCATTCCAATATTTTCAGTTTTAAACATAAAACTGAGGAAAAGATTTCATTTTTTTAAAAAACAGCTGAACATACATCAGCAACCTTTACAAAAGCAGGTTTAAAGTATAGTAATGTATTTAAACACACTTTGAGACTGTCTTCATAGATGGCAAAGTTATTTGGGTTTGGGAAAGAAAAAGTACATTAGTGTATAATGTTTTACAAGCTCATTTACTTACCATCATACTGCAGAAATCCATTTTCATCTATCTCTATCTCAGACTCTGGCTGAAAAAATAATAAAGTACCCATCAAAATGGCGCAGTGCAGAAATAATACAATTATAGAAAAAGTGGCGATAAACTTTTAATAAGCGCTTTTGATGATGATAACAAAATCAGAGTGAACCAATAAATGGTGCCACCCAGTGGATAAATCACACTACTACATTGAGTTTACCTTCACTACAAAAGCTTTATCACTCAGCAAAGGCTTTTTGGATGTAATTGAATTAACTTTACTACCAAAAATTTTTGTATTAAATAAATGATCTAAGAAGTTTTATAGATACCTTAAAGAAATCATCCTGAGATATGACACAGCAGTTTGGGAGGTGTTTCTGCAAATTCTTAGCCAGTGTTGTCTTCCCACCATTTGTCACACTGAACCAAAAAAAGATAAATTAAACAAAATTGAAATAAAATTGAAAATACAGAAGATGCACTAAAAAACATAAAACATTTAAAAATAATCTTAGAAAAAAGGACATTTAAAACAATATGGACTATCTAAGAAAAGATTTCTTTAATAGATAATGCTTTTTCTGTTGGCAAAACCACGGGCATAAGTAGATCTAATGTAATAAATAATAAGAAATAAAGTGGGAGAGATTGAGGAGAAAGGTAAGTAACTACTGGGCAAGTGAACTGGGTAATACAGCTATTGTGTTGGAAACAAAGGAACATTTTGTCTATGGTGAAACATTTATAGGGTTCATATGCAAGCAACACAGAATACGAGTAGGACATTTTAGTGTAAATATATAAACCTGCATATGGTCATTGTGATTTTTGTTTCAAAGCACAGTGGAGAAAACTGGAAGAATGGCTTATTACAAACCCACCTATCATGAATTTATATCTCTTCTGTGATGCCTCCTTTTCCCCTAATCTCTCTCCACTTTGTGGCTAGACGGGAGGTCCTTTTGTGCTTATTACACCAGTCAGGTAAGGTGGTTCCATATTCCATATGTCCAAAGATGGGCATAACAGGAATGACATAATAGATTTTCTCCTATGTCACACTGGGAGAGTAGCCATATGGAGAATGGAACAATCCTGAACCGAAAGTAGCACATGATCAGGACTTGTCTCTGGTGTCAGCTCCAGAAAATAAATGAGAAAGTAGGCAAACTTTCCTTACTGATTCTCCTGTTTCTCTGTTTATAAGAAGCTCTCCCATTTACTTTGGCATTTATGTAGCCAGCATTCCACTGTTTTACATATAATAGTGGCCTGCTCTCTTCTCCAGGACTCAGGAATCCTCTCACTGCTTCTCCTCACACCACCCTGTTCACATGAAAATACCCTTTGGACATCCTGAGTGTCCTAACCAGCTCTTAGTAGCAAAATTACTCACCCACTGATTCCAATGATAAATGTTTTCATAGTTAGCTTTGAAAATTGTGTCTTCCTAAAATCTCCTAAAATTAAAAAAGAAAAATTGAATGCTAACCATTCAGATGTCGAAAGAGCCCTAAATGAAGAGGGCCAGCTGAAGGGGAAAGCTGGCTGTGATCTCTGGGTCACCTATCCCTGGAATTTCCACATTCCGTGGAAGAGTTTCACGTTATACAGGCATACCTCGGAGATATTGTGGATTTGGTTCCAAACCACCACACAATAAAGGGAGTGGTAATCCTTTTGCTGGTGGTGGGTCTTGCCTACATTTCCTAAAAGGCACATCTGTGAAGTGCAATGAAATGAGGTATGACTGTACTGGCTTCTCTCTGCCACACTCTCCTGCTAAGTGCCAACAGATGGTGTGTGCTCAGGGCCTGTAAGCCCAAATCAAGTGAACAGAAAGGGCACCCATGGCAAAATGTATAACCCTGAAGGTCTGTTTTCAAGGCTGTGGAAGAGTCGCTGGGCCACAGAGCACACTACAGACTTTCATACTCCACTTTTACCAGCACAATTCAAGGAGAAAATCCATTACCCTGAAGGAGGAAACCTGCAGAGCTCCTCTCTCTTCCCTGCTGAAATGGGGAGAAAGTTACTGCTGTCCATAGGCAAAAAGAAGTTAATCCCCTTTTAGGGTGATATCTCCCGCCTGAAAGCCTAGGTCTAGGGCCAGCGCAGACAACTTTTTGAGAAATGGGACAGGTAGTAAATATTGGAAGCTTTGTGAGCCAAGAGGCAAAATCAAGGTTATTATGCGGGCATTTATATAACAAGAAATAGACAAATTTCCACAATTTTTTTTGATGAAAGTTAAACCATAATAATAATTGAGTACTTTTTTGTTTTTTGGTAATACATATTTACTAATGAGAAGAATGGAATTCCTTTTTTATTGAGATAACATTTCACTAACTGGATTTCAAAGTTAGTGTTCCCTATCAGGAAATCGATTGCCTGGTGTTACTGCAGAGGGCCAGGTTTTGGCCACAGGCGACTGTCAGTTGACCCCTGGTCTAGGGGGCGGAAGGCTGTTTCACACATGGCCCTTTAAGGTTTACCAAACCAGTCTTGTGTATAGTCCAATGGACCATTTTCACTTCTTTAAGTGAAAAGGTGAAGCTCAGTCGGAAGGAACTTTAGAATAGTGGTTCCTGAGAGCTGTCTTGGATTAAGCTGCTCTAGTTGGGTGATTAGGAACCTAAATTGTGTGCCTGCCTGGGATGTGTGGCCCCTGAGCTGGAGGCTGCCAGCAGTCCTCCCAATTCTTATCTTTGACCAGTTTCCAGGCTCTTCCCCTGGGCTAAGTGGTGGGGAAGGGAGCCTGGTGGAGAGAGGGCTTTTGTTCTTTGGCTTCTTCTCAGTTTATCCAGAACATTCCAAATTAAATGCAACTGCTTAAAGTTTAGATCCACTTTCACTAACAAGTCTAAGAAAGACAAGACTTCAATAATCACTGTAATAAAAAATAAAATGACAGAACAAATTGGATATCTGAGTTTCACCCAGAGTTGCATTTTTGAATACATATTTTCACCCAAATTGCCAAAGTGTATCACGGGAACAATCACATAAAATACATATTGTAAAATAAGTTTTTACGTTGTAATTTTTCTGCTTTCAAATTTTATTTTACCCTATTCTAATTTTTAGTAAGTCAGTGCAAGGGTGCCAACTATCTTTTTTGGGTGATGAGAAAAGAAAGACTGCTCTTTATCATGAGATGGCATCTTTCTTATTTTTTTGTGATAAATGTCCTCTAGCTTAAGAAATTATGTTGGCAGTACATAGTAGTAGGTTGCCGTCCTCACTCGGCAAAAACCAACCAAACAAAAAAACATAAAACTTTGTCATTCCTCTCTTCCACCTTGCTTATTTTTGGATAATTCAGTCAGACCATTAAATTCTCAAATCCAGAGAAGTACAGCCTTAGAGGTCACTTAGTCCACATCTTCATTTTGTAGTTGAAAATGGCCCAGAAAATTACCCAAGGTCACACAGCTAATAAGTTTCGGAAAAGCCAGAAATGAAACTAGACCAAGCAAGTTAATCTCTTTCCTCTTTCCAAGCTGCTAAAAGCACTTTATTACTAAGAGCAAAGGTGAAGTTCTCATTTATAATTGACGTCCTTTCCATTGATGTATTACTGATGTGTCTATCTGCTGTGCACACCAAATGGCAGGTACTACTGGTCCTCTGGGCTTCTTGCCACATCTGCGCAAACACCTGAGGGTACTGTATTAGTGACATAGCATGGAAATAACAAGTGAGTGTGGCACTGGAAATAGGCTTGAGGGGATTATTTGGGTGGAAAGTCTAGCAATTCAGAAAACAGGAGTGAGGAGAGTCAAGAACCTACTTATAAAACCCTTGGGCGCAGGAAGGAACTCCCACAGTCAAACAAAATTTTTTATAGAAACAGTTCTATATTAGTTAGCAGTCTTAGCCTGTCCAAGACAATGTTTAGGTAAATGTTAGGCACAGTCCATAAGCAAAGAACAGGTGACAATGTGGTGGGAGGGGTGGGTAACTGGAAGAAACAGAAGTAAGACCTGTGGCTAGGATGAGTGGCTGGGATGGGAGCGGGTGTAGCAATCTCAGAGACATTTACTTCAGAAATAGTGTTGGATGCAGGGGGCAGCTTCAGATGAATTCTAAGTTCAGGCCTGGCATTGTCTACATTCACAAACATTCTCCTATTTCACTGCCTGTTGTCCTCTTTAAGAACTATATTAAAATCAAGAGTTGCCAGGCTCCAAATATATGCAGCAGTAGACTCCACTAAGCAAACACAAGTCTGATAAACTACATATTATTAATCACTGAATGTCTCCAGAGATACAACCATTTGGACTTTCTAGCCTTATCAATCCAGGGCATCCAATTACTAGGAATATGTAACCACACCCAATCTCTCTGGATATTTATATATTTTATTCTCCCAAATAGTGCAATTTTTTGCATAAGGGGAGAACACACTACGAAATCCAAGAGCAAACCAGAATGAGTAATTTTAATTATTTTAATACTTCTTTTACTCTAAATAAAATGTTGTTGAATCATTTTTTTTTCATAGCTAGTGTTTATTATATTTCATTTATTTCACTACTAAACTTCGTACATTTTGGATTCTAAACTGCAAAATGGTCAGAGGTGGCATGTGTAGAATTAGCACATTATAACAAAATAGCAAGTCCCTAATACAAATGGTCTCAAAGGTAGAAGATAACATGCTAATGGAATGTTCTGCTTTTCAATACATTGAAAGAGCAGTCTGATAGTTTTCAGAATGAAATGTTTTCAGGACTTCTCACTCATTTATTTTATTTAATAGATATTTTGATTACCTCCCCACAACGTGAAAGGGAAGTCTTTTCCTATTATTGTTTAAATTTTGCTCCCAAAAAGAGCTCTCCCAAGGCTAAAGTTTCTGAATATGCAAACCACGCCCCTTTCCCTTGGAATCACTCGATCTTTCACTAACATCTAGTATAAACTTCTAACTTCATTTTACGTAGACTCTCATATAGAAAGTGTTTTTCTTTTCATTTTTTCTTCCCCAAACATACAATTGATTTATGTTGACTGTGCTATTTTGAATTTATGAACGCTGAATTCACAGTATGCTCCCGCCCTTGCCTCCCACTGGAGATTCAATCTGCTATGTCAGGGGTCGGCAAACTTCTGTAAAGAGACGGAATGTTTTCCACTTTGCGAGCAGCGTTCGACATTGCTGTTGCGAAGTTAAAGCGGCCATAGACAATATAAACAAATGAGCATGGCTGTGTTCCAATAAGATTTTATGGACACTGAAATTTGAACTTTATATAATACAATTTGCACATGCCACAACATATTCTTTTGATTTATTTTCAGCCATATAAAAATGTTAAAAACGTTCTTGGGTAGAAGGCTGTATAATAAACAACAGGGGTGGGCGGGCCGTAGTCCGTCAACCCCAATACTAGAGGAATGAAAGACCTTGTCCTTCCGTGGGGATCGAGACCTGACTCTGTCCTTGGCGACTTCTCTCCACACCCTGTACGATCTCTTGGAGGCAGACTTTCATTTTAAGGATTCTTGCGGGACCTTAAAGCATTAAGCCATCACGAGCACGCGTACTCCTTGGCAGGCTATGTATCAGCCCGTTTTGGGCGGCATGAGTGAGTCCCAATCCAGCTTGTAAGACGCGACCAAGTTCAGCGCAGCGGGGTAGGCAGGTACTCACCCGGAGCCAGTTCGAGTCCTCCCAAGCACTTAGAGGCGATCGCCAAGCCTGTGCCTGTCACTAGCCTGCCGCAACCCCGCAGCTCGCTAACCTAGAAGCCCATAGCCCCTTCCCCTGCACCCCTTCCTGACCGCAGGAGGCCCAGGTAGAAGTCGCCAAACCAGGTCCACCCAGGCTGTGGGCCGCGCTGGGCTCCAGTCCACGTTGGGCGGGGCGGAGCTCCAGAGAGCGTGGCCCGCGCGCGCCCCTGCAGGGTCTGGCCCTTTCTCGTCGGGGGCGCGCCCGGCGGGGCCGGCAGCCCATAGCCCCTTCCCCTGCACCCCTTCCTGACCGCAGGAGGCCCAGGTAGAAGTCGCCAAACCAGGTCCACCCAGGCTGTGGGCCGCGCTGGGCTCCAGTCCACGTTGGGCGGGGCGGAGCTCCAGAGAGCGTGGCCCGCGCGCGCCCCTGCAGGGTCTGGCCCTTTCTCGTCGGGGGCGCGCCCGGCGGGGCCGGCCCTGGCGCGACACGGCGCATGCCAGCCGGGGAACCAATTGGCGCTCGGCGAGGCGGCGGCCACTTCCTCGTCTGCCCCGCCGCGCGCTCGGGACAACTCGGGCGGCCGCGGGCGGGGCGAGAACTGCGCGGAGCCGCTCTCCCTGCGTCCGCTGATTCCGCAGCCAAGGGTGGGCGCAGGTCCTTGAAGGCGCACCGCTGCAAACCAGACAAAAAGAAACTCTGGGGCGCAGGGAGTGCTGGCTGGCGGGGCGTTCGGTTCGCTTTTCGTGCGTGGTCGTTAGGATTAGTTGCTCCAGGAAGCGAGATGTCGAAGCCGCCACCCAAACCGGTCAAACCAGGTAAGGGAGGTGCTCGCCCGGTCCTCCGACCGCCTCAGTGCCTTGCGCTCCTTCTGCCACTTGGCAGGGCAGACCAGGCACGTCGCCGGCCCCGAGTCCCGCTCTCGAGATACTACCCACCAGAATGGGAGTTGTTCGCTTTGTTGCGTTCGCTAAGGGGGAGGGATCGTTTTGGATAGCAAGAGGATTTCGAGGATTTTTAAAAAGTTTATTTTTAAAGGCGAGTCGCCCTCGGTTTTGCAACATTGACATTCGCTGCAACTTTCAAGAGGATGTGATGGATATGTCCCATTGAAGCTTTCCTGGAAGACAAGGCTATTGATATCCCTTTAAAAAAATTAAGTAAATGTCTTGAAAAATGGTCTTTTAGCCACTTCCTCTTTTTTTTTCAGTGTCTGTCACTGTCAAGTTAGAGTTCTTGACCGGCCAAAGCGAACGGGAAGTGCGCTGCTTGCAGGGTGGGGTGGGTGACCGAGTCTCCTTTGGAAGTTTTGAGAGGAACTGCGTTTGAAATTGACCTCAGGATCTTGGGAAAAGCGTTTAGAAAACTAAACTAGACTTCGTGGCGAGAATCTAGGCTGCAGCAGAGTAATCTCGGCTATTCGGAAGTGTCACTTTATTATGCTATGCAAGTCTTGTGCCTCTACTCCCCTAGTGAATTTGGCCGGCTAAACTGGAGAGGGTGCGATTACTAAATTCCTAAAGCCATTGCTTTGGCCGATAGTCTTGGTTCATTTTTTATTCTATTCTTAGAATATTTTCTGTGATAGGGAGAAACGAGAATTTAAAAGGGACTGGTGAGTTTCAATTCAATTTCGTAATGCATTTATTTGTAGGTAATTAGGGGAAACGTAGGAAGTGGAAAATAAATAGCTCTGACATACTCTCGGATCTTTTTTGTACAATCTCATGTAACTTTAGTATAGCAGAGGCCGAATTTATCCGTTTACCTCAAATTTCCAAGTAACCTTGGTCGTGATGCGTAGAGTTTCACTGATTAATTTTTTCTAATTTTCCTAAACTTTAATCAAGCACTACAATCTTAATGATTATTTAGTTTTCTTTCTTTGCCCCGATACAGTGTCAGTTTCAAGCCATTTTATTTGGAAATTATGTACATACATATATAGAATAGTGATTCACTGAGGGCTTAAATTTCTGTAGGCAGGGTGTGGAGGAAGTTGCTGGGACTTTGGCTCCGTTGTGAGCAACCGTGGGCGTGGCCAGCTAGAATTGGGCTCTGTACTTCTTTAGTTGGGGGATCTGATGAGGAATTTGCATTTTAAGTCAATATGTAGGAGGTGGCAGCTTTTTACTCTCAGATGTAAAGCAAGACCTCGAGTATCCAACAAAGCAGAGTTGTTCTTTGATAGCCAAAGTACTGTATTTTAAGGAATTTCCTGAGAAGCTATTCATGAGGTTTTTTAAATCTCTCTCGACACTAAGTGATGTCTGTGCTGTAGCTGGAGGGACATTGACAGTGATGTGTGTGTGTGTACAAGAGTGTGTACATGAGTACTCATGTACACAGGGGTGTGGTTTATGGATCATGGTGTTACCAGTTGGGGATAAACTCCCAGGAACCATTTTTGTTGTCTAATTCTCCTTCTGTTCAGTAAATCAGAAAGTAAATGGTTGAAAATGACTGTTGTTTAGAGAGAGCTTAGACTCTGCACTCATTTATAAGTGACATTGAAACTCAAATAAAGTCACCACAGAAATCATTTCTTCAGTTTACTAATTTACAAATTAATGAAAAATACTGTCAGTCCCACTGGCAACTTCGTGTGGCCTGATAACTGAAAACAGAACTGCCCTATTATAGTACATTTCCTATGTGCCAGGCACTGATCTAATCACTTTAAATATATTAACTCATTTACTTCTTACAGTAACCCTATGAGGTGAGTACCACTACCTCAGGTGGGGAAATGAAGGCAAGGCACAGAAAGATTAATTGGCCCATGGTCAGCAGCTGGATAAGGAGGAGTGGGCAGGATTAGAGGCCAGGTAGTCTGGCTTCAGAGTCTGGGTTCTTAGCTATAATGGCTTACATCACAGTGCACCATCCACATGTGTATTTTAGAGTTGGTGGGCAGAAAATGGAAAGGAAAGTGCCTCTGGTCTTTAGTCAGACTTGTCACAAATGCACATAAAAGTCACTGCCTGGTTGGTAGCAGCAAGGAGAGTGATGATGAGTTTTGCTCTCTTGTCCTGCAGGGAAGCTACATGGGTGAAGATGTCTGAAGCAAGCTTGGAACTGGGGTGGGGAAGTGTATTTAATTTTTGTTTTCTTAATTTCTTAATTTGTTAATACACTGCCTCATCCCAAGCGAGAGTAAAAAAAGATAAAGAAATCTTGGTCAGGTAGAGGGAAGGAAGAGTAGTAAGAGGAAACCAGAAGAAAAGTTATCTTTCAGACACATGTAAGGTCCTGCACAATTTTTGAAAGAGGGCTGTAGATTTGGCACTCAGCTTCAAGTACGAAGATAAAAGATCAATCACAAGATTGCTAGTGTTCATAAAATTAAAATGTATTACTTGGCTAGGAAAAGTTATTTAATGGTACTGGAATCTGAGGTGAGCTTCTCCCATTGTTTTCTTGAAGTGTTGGCATGGACGGGACATCTCTACAAGAAACACAAGTGGGATATCATAGTAGTGGTCCATATACCTTCCTGCAAAGCAAGATCTGGTGGAACAGCATGGCTCACTTCATAGGCAGTACTAAAAGGAGGGGAGCTAGGTGAGAGAAGATAAAAGACTTACTGGAAAATTTTAGTAGCAAGGGACATTGAGCTATAATATGGGCTAATGTATCTATCGGGATGAATGGCATGTACCCCATAAAGGGAACTTTGGAGGATGCCCAGGCAAGCCCTGGTCAGATGCTTGCGGGAAAGCCCTGCCACTTAATTTCTTTTTGCATTTCCTTAAGTTTCTTCCTGAGGTTATACCAGAGGTCACTTTGTTTGAGATTCTGGCCACAATCAAAATTCTTTTGCTAACCACTTCTTAATACATGCAGCTTATATTTTAGGTCCTGTGCTATACACTGCGATTCCAAGAACAGTGAAAGACTCAATGAGGGTGTTTAGTCTAATGGGGGACATTTATGTATCTACAGATAATGTCTTAGATTGTCCCATATCTATAATTGCATGGCTGATCTTGTCCATTTTGTTGAAAAAAAAAATCTTGTAATTAAAAATAAAAGTAATATTTTATTATAGAAAATATACTAGAGAAAAATAATAAATATATAAATCAAAACACAAAAATCATCCCTACTTATCATCTAGTGATAACCACTGTTTTCTCTCAGGTTTTCTTTTTTCTTCTTCAAATTTATTTCATTCCAAAAAGAAAATACAAACAATTATCTTCAGAATGGTGTCTCTGCTTGAAAAATCAGTTCTATCACATTTTAACCTTTCCTTGGTTTCTGATTTTTTTCTCTATAGGGTCACTTTTGGCCACTCCAGGTCTGTCATCAAAACCCTTTCCCCTAATTGTTAGATACGTTGCCTTGATACCTTGTCTGCTAAACTGTGCAACAGTTTTGTGGTTTTCAGCTCATTCTTAATGCGACTCTGTACTTTCTGCTGACCCAGCCTCAGAGTTCTACATATAGCATTTCTGTTCTTTTCAGCCACCCTCCAAAGCCTTGCAGTTCAATTAGGGTGAAACCGCCTAGCCTGTTGGAGTACAGAAAACAACTTATGTTCTCACAAATATTTTTTTAAAAGTGACTTTATTCTCAGATGATGTAAAAGTGGGCCAAATGATATTGAATGAGATTTGGACCCAAATCATTGCCTTTCAAGCAGGTTTGATGACCCTCCACTGTAGTTGGCAGCCTGATGTCTGACCTTGACCAATTCTTTTAAATGGCTTATTGATTTTGATGGTGGAAGTAAAGCAGCATAAATATTTCACATGTCTTGTGAAAATAAATTCATGGGACTTTAAAGAAGCAAATGTCAATATTTTGGGTTCTTGTGTATACACAGTAAAAACATCATAAGCTTCAAAGATGTCACACATATGCTGCTTTTATAACACCCTTGAGAGGAAAAAGGTCTTCATCTAAAATAATCTGAGCTTTTGTAGTTTTTTTCCCCTCTGAATAAATAAATTAGTCAGAGGCGCTCCATTTATAAAGTTAGAAGAACATCTTCAAAATTACAGAATGATGATGATGATAGTAATAATTAACATTTATTTGACACTAATTAAATATCAGGCATTGTGCCAAGAACTTTAACTGCTCTCTTATTTGGTTATTTTAACTTCCCTAAAAGATGGATCCTAATATCTCCATTTTATGGATTAAGTAGGACTTAGTGAGGTTAAGAAAAACTACTTGAGGTCTCAAAGCTAGGAGCTCAAAGCTGGAAATGGAGCACAAGTCTTAACTATAGTCTCTACATTTATGGCAGAGAAACCTGGGAGGATTCTGTTAGTAGGTTGGATAAGATTTTGTTGAGCTTCTGTTGTGTATTAACTTACATAGTTGTATTTTTTGCATGTGTTTTGTATAATTCCCCTCTTTCATTTGATCTGTATTGACTATTAGACACTTTTTGAGAGTAGAATAATCTTTTATTTCTTTATAACTGCATAACAACTGAACTTTTTATGCATGACAGATACATAAAAAGTCTTGATACATAAAGTCTTTCTGGAAGAAGGTAGATGAGACTAATTGGGCACATCTTGTAGGTTTACTATAAAGTAGCAAAGGCTGGAGCAGTATACATCAGCGCTACTTCTGGAAATAGTGGGGTCCTCTCCCTTTTGGGTTTTCTACATTCTCACTGCTTGATTTCATTGTAGCTAGTGACTTGCTTTTCTGACATTCCTCTGTGAAGAAGGAAAAGATTTTTCATCTACCCTCTTAGGTTCTATGTCTGAGTCCTGTGAATTAAACTGAGAAAACAAAACAAAACAGATTACTAGGAGGAAAATTTAATACATACAAATTTAATTGATATTTT